CCCCCTCTCCCTCTCCCCCTCCCCCTCCCCTCCCCCTCTCCCTCTCTCTCTTTCTTTCTTTCTTTCTTTCTTATCTTTATTGGAGTATAATTGTTTTACATTGGTGTGCGTTTTCTTATTTCTGATTTGAAAAATCTGGAGAATAATCTTCTGGCCAATCAGCAGTGGCCATGCCAGCAGGGTCACATGCCATAGACAGGCCTTTGGGGCCCACACTTACATTTCAGGGTGCTTCCCAGAGACAGGGCCACAGTTTCCATATCTGTAAAGTAGGGAATTAGGTCTTTCTTTCTGTGTGGTGTTCTGGCACATTGCTCAGGCTTAACCTTTGTGATTCCTCATCATGTGAGTGGAAGCCTGGGAGGGGAGGGTCACTGAGGAGAAGCTTGGCTGAGCTCTGCCACTTGGGTCTAAGAGGGGCTTCCCACTTAGGGCAGAGACTTAGATGTCACCAATATCCACTCTTCCTACACTAAGTGAACTACTAATTTGCAGCTTAATACGTGGCCAACCAGATAAAATAATATTTCCCAGTCTTTTTGCACTAGCATGGCCAAGAGACTACATTTTAGCCAATGGGTTGTGTGTACATCTTAGGGAAGCATCGTCAGATGCAGTAGAGTGCCCCTTCCCCGTCTCTGGGCTGAGTGTAGACATGATGGTTGGAATTGAAGCGGCTATTCGGACATTGGGGTGGAAACTGATAAGGATAGCAGAGTATAATATAAAAGGAACATGAAGTTAGCATACTACATAGGTCTGTGTGTGAGAGAAATTAACTTCTATCTGTTTAAGCCACTGTTATTTTGGCTTTTTGGTCTCTCACAGCCAGACTTAATCCTATACCAACCCTATGCAGGTGGGAAACAAGTTTCTATTGTCAATAGCCATAGAAGGGCCTTACAGGTGACCTCTCAGTCCCTGCTACCTGCAGACCTATCAGCAACAATTCCTGCCCAGGTTCCCATTTCAGTGGTCCAGGGAATGCTGGTTCCTGTCCTCCTAGCCCCCACTTTCCTCCCAGTGTGTGTTTTCCCACCGAGCATTTCCTGCTCCAGCTGCCTGCCCTGGAGCAGGAATCTGAGTCTGTGTGACCCTGCTGCCGCCTGCCAGGCCCCTCTCCACACTCTTCTGCCCACCACCTCCACCACTACCAAAAGGCTCCTCCTGTAAGCTTTGGCCAAGAGCGGGTATCTGACATATACCACAGGCTGGGATCTCTGTCTATGGTGGGATTTCCCAATGCTACGTGTCCCTGTGGGCCATTGTGTGAGTGCCTGTGAGCTGTGTGTGTCCAATGTCAACATATTTAACAACCAGTCAGAATGGACGTTGACCAAAAGAGAAGAGCAGGGTCTGGACATGATCCTGCTATGGTGGCCAGGGTGCAGGGGGACACTTAAGGGCTTGGGGCAGCACCTGTTGTCAACAATTATAGACCTGGTTCAGTATTGTAATAAGCAGTCAGATGTATGATGAATACCACCTGAATATCAGCCATGATAGTGTCGACATGTGGTGGGGGCGGTCTGTGTGTGTGTGTGTGTGTGAGTGAGATTTGGGGTGCTGGTACAGCCCAGGGAGAAAACTATGAGGGGTGTGGGACCCTCCCAAAGGCTGTTCGAGGCTGGGCCTTGCAGTGGCAGAGGGTACAGATTTCACTTAGGTTCTTGACCTCAGTGACAGGCCAGGCTGGGGCACACAGGAGCACTGCATAGAGCCCTGGGGACAGGGACTGACTCTCAGAGTCGTGACCCCCTCGAGAAGGCAGAAGATGCCTGGGACCTCTAGGGGAACATGTGACAGGGTTGAGGAGCATCAGAGTGATGGAGAGGACATCAGATTCAGAGTAGGGAGGACAGCAAAATTCCCCCCTATGCCAGCCTCCTCCCCAGGATCCCCACAGACACTGACCTGCTTGGCCAGGTTGTGCTGAATCTTTTATTTCATGTCACATCCTCTCCATGCCCACCACGGTTCTCCAGCCTGAAGCTTCATGGCTCAAGGGGCTCCTGTGGGGTTAGCATTTGCCATCGTTCATGATCTGGATGTCCTGTCTTTTTCCTAGGATCACAGCAGACAAGGATGAGGCCACCTCCTCAGGAACCGTAATGTACCCTTCAGGAACCCTGGCCCAGTCCAGACCCCCTGCTAAGCTCTGCCCACCCACCCAGTGTACAGTGCGGGGGAGGTCCCAGGGCTCCCTGGGCATATCCTTCTACAGCTTTTCCCTCTGTACACCCTCCCCTGGGGCGGTTTCAGCTTCCTGGGCTTTCAACCACCTCTGCATGCTGTTGGCCACAAATCTGTCTCTGGCCTGGACCTCTGTCTTAGACTCCAGGCCTGTTCATGTGACTGTCCATTGTACATCGCCGCTGGGTTGTCCCAGAGGCTCCACTGTCCACGAACATCATCACCTCACAAACCTGCCACGCACACCCTGCCCCCTGCCACATGACACCACCAGCCACCCAAGCCTACAAGTTAGAAACCAGCATGTTGCTCTTGCTTGCTTCCTGCCTGTCAACCCCTCACATCCAATCTCACAGCTTGTCGATTCTACTCCCAATGTAACCATGAGCCTTTAATTATCATGATTGTTTTCCAAGTTAGGACACTGTCCATCTGTCTAGAGTATTGCAGCTTCCAAAGACTTTCTTCTCTTCTGTGTTCTCACTTAGCTCTGGCCGGCTCAAGGTCTTATGAATGAAGAAATGAGACCAAATAGGAGATCCGACGTACCAAGGTCATGTTCCAGCCCTGCTTGCTCTAGACTCATTTCTTGCCTCTCCCCCATTCTCCTTTAAATGAGAATGTCCTCCACCATACCCACCTTCTTATATTTCCTCAAATATAAACTTTCTTTCCCTTCTAGATCTTTCCAAACTCATTTCTCTACTTGGAATTACCTTCCCTTGTTTCTTCTTTTTCCTACCTAGTTTCTACTTATCCCTCAGGGCTGAGCTGAGGTGTCGCCTCCCCTGGGAAGTCTTCCCTGCCTTGTCCTTGCCTGGTACCCACAGTACCCTGTGCGCCCCCATCTGGGCCTTTAGCATTCTGTGCTGCTGTTGGCTGACCTTCAGCTTGGCTTCCCCCTTAGACTGACTGTTTGCCCCAGGAGCCGGTAATGCTGTCTAGCTTATTATGCCCTGTTGTATCCCCAGTGCCCGGCACACAGTAGGTGTTCAATAAATAATTGTTGACTGGAGGAATAAATGAACAAATAAGGTCACCTAGTCAGTCGGGGGCAGAACAAGGAAAAGAGCCCAGAGTTTCTACCCGAACCCTGAACCCCCAACCAGTGGGACTTTCTGCTTGGAACCATGTGCCTTCTTTTGATTTATACTTGCACTCACTCTGTTACGGGCAAATGTTGGAGGACTCTTCCCAGGCCAAGTGTGAGTGAAGGAAGAAGCAGGTCAAGACCTGCTCCTTTCAGACTCATATGCACCACAGATGGGGCCCACCCAAGCCAACCCAGGGGAAGGTAGGGGGGTGGACTTACATGCGAGCCAAGCAGAGCTTGCATTCACTGTCATACGTGACCCCGTCAGTGCCACAAACTGGGTCATATATCTAGGGGCAGACTGGAGATTCTGCCATGTGCTCACAGATGGGCTGTGGAAGAGAGGAAGGGGGAGGCGCTCAGGGATTCGGAGGCAGAGAGGAGGGAACTGGGGGCTCTGCTTGCAGCCAGGCGGGGATCTCCACGGAGGAGCCAGATTCAAGAAGGCCCCAGTGTGGGTCCAAAGAGCATGAAACCAACCACTCAGGGCCCTTTGGCACGTTTGCTTATGTGTGTGTACACGACCGTGGACCGTGGGTGTGTACGTAAGTGTGTACCTATATCTGCTGAGCCCAAGTATGCGGGCATCCAGGTGAGTGCCTGTCTTTATGGGCTCACACACTCCTCACGGGGTCTAATAGAACCCTGCTGCTGGTCCTATTGAGGACCCCGGGAGACGGAACCACCCATCATTCCTAGGAGGCCCCGCCTCCCTGGGGGCTCCTGAACTCACCCTGGCCCGCATGACCTATCAGGCCCCTAGTATGAGAAGGCTGGAGAAATGGGACTTAATTGAAGCTCAGTCTGAAAGGGTTTCAAGCCAGCCCTGAGGTCAGGGTCAGAATTGGGTCAGGACTAGGATTGGGGTCTGGGGTAGGGATATGGTGAGGGGGGCAGTGCCCTGCAGCAGTGAAGGCCCCAGGCCTGAGAGACCTGAGCTCTGCACTGATTAGCCGTGAATCTTTGGCAAAGCGGGTGGGCCTGCTCAGCCTGGAAGGGCTAACCTGGGGAGCATGCATGCTCAGGAGGCCACCCTGGCCTCTGCGGAGCCATTGAAGTTGTATGAGCAGGAGTGTAAAGAAGAAGAAGCCCGGTTTCCCAGCATGGATGAGAGGGCTCCCCTCTGCAGAAGGAAGGCCAGATCAGCAGCCCTGAGGCCAGAACTGCAAGCAGCTGCCTTAGCATTCTTGAGAAAATGAACTTTGCTGCCGACACTGGCACTTCTGAAAGGCAAAGAAGCAAGAATTAGGTGATACTGGCTCTAGGCCCCAGGTCCAGGGGCCTGAGGACAGCTTCTTTGGGGCATCTGTCCAGCCACCACCCCATCTGGAATTCCTCAAGGAAAGGTAGTGAGTCACCAGAGAGGGGCTCCCAGAAAGCTCATGTGACCTTGTATTATAAGAACTGAGACAGAAAGTCTAGAATTAGGGAGATCAAAGTCCAGCCTGTTCGTTATTAGTTAGATCCCACTGGGATTGTTATATTCCATATAATAGCAATGAAAATAATTCAGTTACTGTGTACCAGGCCATGACAACACGTGATCTTGACTGCTATTCACAGCTTTCTCAAGCCTGTGTAACAGGCAGGAGAGGAAGCAGTGGTCTGCGACCCCCAGAGGCACTCATTTCCTCAGCTGCCAGGAGTATTGGCTGCTCACGGCAGAGTCCTTTCCTGGGAATTACCCTCAGAGAATGGAGTTGCCTTGCCCAAGGTCGCATTCCCTACCCAGAAACAGCTCGCATCCAATGTCAGCGTGATGTGGGTACAACGGTCTGAACTACTCCTCTCTACTCAGAATGATGCTAATGGGCCATCCCAGCTCTACTACATCACAGTCAACATCCCTCATCCCTCATAGGTGTTACCCCGTGAGCACTCCCCAGAGTCTGCTTCCCGGGAAACTTGACTAACTTACGAAAGAGGCTCACAGGTAAAGCAACACAGTTTGTTAAGGGCAGAGCTTGGATTTGCACATGGATCTGTCACTCCACACACGCAGTCATGCCCCATGGCCCCTTGAGTTCTGGACGCACTTCTTACAGGACATGAGCAAATTGTGATGTGACTGGCGAGTGTGACAGGTGGATGAGGGAACGGGATCTGTATTTAAGACCACAGGTGTAAGAAAAGGTATCCATGTAAGTTGAAGAAGGGCAGGCTGCTTCCTGAAGTCTCTGAAGGGCTGTCATGGGGCCATGGGAGAGATGAGCTATTCTCAGCCTCACAGGGCAGAGCTCATCTGCGTGAGGAGGCTGCAAAGAAGCAGGTGTGGGTTCCAGAATTTTCTCTCAGTGGGAGCTATGCCTTAATGAAGGAGGCTGTCTCCAGAAGTGGAGAGCTCTCTATCCCTAGAGGTGGGCGAGGCGCTGTGGTTTTAGCTTTTCCTGGAGATGCTATTACAAGAGATTTCCAAGGCAGAGAGGAAGAAGGGAACCAAAACTGACCTCTGATGCACTGTTGAAGTGTCAACATGCAAATCTACCCTTGTCACCACACTGCTCAAAACCCTTCCTTGTCATAATCACCCAAACTGGAAATTATCCAAATGTCCATCAACAGGCGAATGGATAAACTGTGATACACAGTACAGTACAATACAACTCAACAATGAAAAGCCAATAGGGCTTCCCTGGTGGTGCAGTGGTTAAGAATCCGCCTGCCAGTGCAGGGGACACAGGTTCGAGCCCTGGTCCGGGAAGATCCCACATGCCACGGAGCATCTAAGCCCGTGCGCCACAACTACTGAGCCTGTGCTCTAGAGCCTGCGAGCCACAACTACTGAAGCCCGCATGCCTAGAGCCCGTGCTTCACAACAAGAGAAGGCACCACAGCGAGAAGCCCGCGCACCGCAACAAAGAGTAGCCCCCGCTCGCTGCAACTAGAGAAAGCCCGCGTGCAGCAACAAAGACCCAACGAAGCCATAAATTAATTAATTAATTAATAAACCCCAACAATCCAATAACTGATAACATGCAACACCATGGCTGAATCTCAAAAACACGCCTAAGAAGCCAGACACAAAAGACTCCACACTATGGTTTTCATCTGTGTGACATTCTAGAGCAGGCAAACTAATGTATGGTGGAAAAAAGTCAGAGCTGTGGTTACCTCTGGGGCAGGGGTGGGGTAGGGGCAGGGATTGACTGACATGAAGGAAATTTCTGGAATGATGGAACTGTTCTGTATCTTGGTAAGGGTCTGGGTTACACAGGTATATGCCTCATCAAAACTCATTGAATAGGGGCTTCCCTGGTGGCGCAGTGGTTGAGAGTCCGCCTGCCGATGCAGGGGACACGGGTTTGTGCCCCGGTCCGGGAAGATCCCACATGCCGCGGAGCGGCTGGGCCCGTGAGCCATGGCCGCTGAGGCTGTGCGTCCGGAGCCTGCGCTCCGCAAAAGGGGGGGGCCACAGCGGTGAGAGGCCCGCGTACTGCAAAAAAAAAAAAAAAACCTCATTGAATAGGATTCATTGAGTGATAAGACTTGTACCTTTCATGGTGCATAATTGTTAGCGGGGGAGAAAAAGCATTAAAAAAATAATAATAAAGCCCTTCCAAGGCTCCCTATTGTGACCACTAAGCCTCTTCATCTTATGTTTAGGGCACCGCGTGAGCTGACCCCAAACTTCCCCTGGGCTCACTTCCTCGTACACCTCCCCATGCCCCTATGCCCCCGCCATTCCTCTCTGCTCACTCTTCTGGAACAAGCTCTGTGTTGGCTTATGCTGGTCCCTCTGCCTGAAATGTCCCTATTCTCCTTCTCCTCCTATTGAGTCAGACCCTCCTTTCAAGACACAGACCACCTCCCAGTGAAGTATTCCCTGATATCCCCCAGGGCTTCCTGAGCAGGCCTGGACTTAGGCTTCTGTTTTAGTCCGTCTGGGCTGCTATAACAAAAATAGCATAAACTGGGTGGCTTATCAACAAACGTTTATTACTCATACTTTTGGAGACTGGAAGTCTAAGGTCATGGTGCCGGCAAACTTGGTGTCTGGCAAGAACTCTCTTCCTGGTTAGTAGTCGGTGCCTTCTCACTGTGTCCTCACGTGGTGAAGGGGTGAAGGAGCTCTCTGGGGCCTCGTTTATAAGGGCACCAATCCCATTCATGTGGACTCTGGCTTCATGACCTAATCACCCCCAAAAGGTCCCACTACCCAATACTATCACCTTGGGAGTTAGAATCTCAACATATGAATTTGGGGGGGCCACAAGCAGCTAGACCCTAGTAGCTTCTTTCACACCACCATGTGCTCACCCACTCACCGGGTCACTCTTGCCGGGCCTGAGTGCCTTGGGGTTCCTTTGTCTCTGCCTCCAAGTGGCAATGCCCTTCACACAGTGAGTGTCCAGGATTTGACCACTAATGTGCATTGTAGGGGAGAAGTTCAGAACTTCTCTGGTGTCAGAGTTTCTTCCTGGATGATGTGGGAAGTTGCATTTACCCCCAGACTGCCCTTGACCTTGGCCCAGTGTGCCCCTTCCTCACACAGCCCAGGCAGGAATCTGCAATGGGCAAAAGGACTCTCTTTAGGGCAGCCTCTTCAGTGTTCCCAACAAGAGAGCTGCTGATGGAATGGATGCCAGGCTGGGAGTAAGCAGGCTGTGCCAGGCCAGAGTCTGCAGACCCATTCTCTATTGTGTCAGCTCCTAGTCTATGACCCCAGCTGGGGAAATGGGTTTGAGACTGGCCATGAGGCCAATGTCCCTGGGGTCCTGCTGGGCTTTGCTCTGTAACATTATGACTTTGTCCAGGTGTGTCCTAAATAGTCTCCCTGCTTCCCCTTTTAGTCTGTTCTCAACTTAGCAACCAGAGCAAACCTTTTAACACGTAACTCTGCTCATTACACTTCAGTGTCTCCCATTTCACTCAAAGGAAAAGCCATGCCCTCACATTGACCTCCAATGCCTTACCCAATATAGTTCCCAGTTGCCTGTATCATCTCTTCTCCTATCTCTCTGCACCCTGCCCCTCACTCTCTTCTAGCCCTGCTGGCCTCCTTGCCGTACCTCAAACGCTCCAGACATGCTCCTACCTCAGGGCCTTTGCACTGCCTGTTCCCTCTGCCTGGAACCCACTTCTCTTAGATACCCCCATGGCTCACTCCTCTGCCTCCTTCAAGCTTTGCTCAAACATCAGCCTCTCAGAGAGAACTCCTCCTATTTAACATTGCAACCCCCTCTCAATCCCCATCACCCTGCCCGGTATTTTTTTCCTTAGGCTTTATCACCTTCTAACATACATTGCACCTGTCTTGTTTATTGTTGGTTCCCCTCCCTCAAACCCCACTGGGTTTAAAGACCTATCAGGACAGTTCTTTTTCTGGTGTGCTCACTGATAAGTTCTAAGGGCTCAGAACAATGCCTGATACCCAGCAGGTGCGAGACTGCAGAGGTGCCCTAGGCCCTGAGCAGGCCCCACTCCTGCGGGCATGTGTGTAGCCCAGGGCGAGGGCTCCCTTGTGCTCACAAGGCTGCTCTCAGCCCCACAACCACAGCCTGTCAGAGCAGATGGGAGCTCAGAGGACCCAGGCCAAGCTTTCTTCAGCACCCACCACCCTACAGCCACCAGACTTGCCTATCTCCCCAGAGATAAGACTTCTCTCTTCTGCCTCCCCGATCTCTAGCCCAGTAGTTGCTCAGTGCAGCTTTGAACTAGAACAACCTCCTACTTTATAGCTGGAGAAACAGAGTCCCCAAGAGGGGAGGGGACTTTTGCAATTCTGGGACAGGGTTAGGATTTGAACCCAGGTTTCTTTTCTCCTAGCCCAGTGTGCAGAAAGAAGGTATATGCAGAAAACCAAGGCCTTAGAGGGTGCTCCAGGCCCTGCCTCTGCTCCACGCAAGCTCACCTACCAACACCAAGCCAGAGAATCCAGGCTCTGCCTACTCACCCCTGCCCACAAGGAAGAGGGCAGCCAAGGCCAGGGTGACCACCCACAGGCGAACAGCCATGCTGATCCTGGGCTGACGTGGCCTGAGTGAGCTGGGGCCTGGGCCAGGGACGATAGAGGCCTGTTTATAGTGCTGATCCCCACCCTTATCTTACCTGAGGCCAGATGGAGAGGCCGGAGGTGTCACCTATCTGCACCTTGGCATCTAGAAAGGGTTTGTTCTCTGCAGAGACGCTGAGCTTGTGGTGGCCTGGGGCGGGGGCTGGGGCTATGGCCAGCAGATTTTGGAAGTGAGAAAAAGTTTGGACAACTTGCAAAGCTGACTCCAGACTGAGGGCTGAAGCAAGAGGCAGAGGGAAACAAGTAGAAAGAGGAAGACAGGGGCTTCCCTGGTGGCGCAGTGGTTAAGAATCCGCCTGCCAATGCAGGGAACATGGGTTTGAGCCCTGGTCGGGGAAGATCCCATGTGCCACGGAGCAACTAAGCCCGTGCGCCACAACTACTGAGCCTACGCTCTAGAGACCACGTGCCACAACTACTGAAGCCTGCGCTCCTAGAGCCCGTGCTCCGCAACCAGAGAAGCCACTGCAATGAGATGCCTGCGCACTGCAACAAAGAGTAGCCCCCGCTCACCGCAACTAGAGAGAAAGCCTGTGCACAGCAACGAAGACCCAACACAGGCAAAAATAAATAAATAAAATAAATAAATTTATTTAAAAAAAGAGGAAAACAAAGAGAGACTAATTCAGAGAGACTGAGACAGAGATATCAAAAAGAAAACAAAAAAGCAGCAATTGGAAGGTGGTCAGAGGCAGAGAAAAGGGGCTGGAGTCATGGGTCCCTTTGGCCAGTGCTGACACTAACCAACTTCGTGAGCTCAGAAAAGCTGCTTTTGTTAAACTGGACCTCAGTTTACCCACCATAAAATGGGGAAGATAATTCTGGCTCTGTCTCCCTCCTAGGGCTGCTGTGAAGACGAGAGGTGGTGATAGCAGATGGGAAAACACTTTGCAGAGTATGAAATAAGGTATAAATAGAAATTATTCTTTTCATTTATTTTTATTTCTTTTTTTGCACCATGAAGAGGGTGCAACTGACAGAGGAAAAAAAAGTAAAATAAAACATATTGTAAGGAAGATGCCCTCATGCTTTGCATGTAGTCTATGTTCTTTTACATTTAAATGGGTTAAATACAGATAAGATTCTGTTCAGGAAAAATCAATATCTAGGGGACTTCCTTGGTGGCGCAGTGTTTTAGAATCCGCCTGCCAATGTAGGGGACACGGGTTGGAGCCCTGGTGCAGGAAGATCCCACATACCGCAGAGCAACTAAGCCCGTGAGCCACAACTACTGAAGCCTGCATGCCTAGAGCCCGTGCTCCACAAGAGAAGCCCCCGCTCGCCTCAACTAGAGAAAAGCCCGCACACAGCAAGGAAGACCCAACACACCCAAAATTAATTAATTAATTTTAAAATAAGAATTTAAAAAAGAAAAATCAGTATCTAAAACTTCCCCTTACTTATACAGGTATATGACTAAGATATTTGGTTATCTGTTTTCAAAGAATTTTTTTTTAATTAATTAATTTATTTTTGGCTGCATTTGCTGCGCACAGGCCCTCTCCAGCTGCGGCAGGCGGGAGCCACTCTTTGCTGCCGTGCGCGGGCCTCTCACTGCGGCGGCCTCTCCCATTGCGGAGCACGGGCTCCAGGCGCGCAGGCCTCAGGAGTCGTGGCCCGCGGGCCCAGGAGCTGTGGCTCGTGGGCTCCAGAGCGCAAGCCCAGCAGTTGTAGTGCATGGGCCCAGCCGCTCCGCAGCACGTGAGATCCTCCCGGACCAGGGCCGGAACCCCTGTGTCCTGCATTGGCAGGCTGATTCCCAACCACTGCACCACCAGGGAAGCCTCAAAGAATTTCAGATTATAAAGAGAATAACAAAATTTTATTTACATATGCATTCTTCTAATTCGTTTAGATCCGTGATTTTCAGCTCCATCTGCAGATAAATTTCCCTGGGGAGAACTTTAAACTACAGATGCTGAGCCCTACTCTGAAGTATTTGAATCAGTGTTTTGTTTTTTTAAAAAAAACCTTTTTACTTTGAATGATTTCAAGCCTACGAATAGGTTGTAAAAATAGTTAAATGAATTAATGGGAAGGATTCTTGTTCAAGAATAGCCCCTTTGGGGGCCACAGGCAGCCAGACAATCACCCTCACAGGCTGATAGAAGCCTGGGATCTACAGCCAAGCCCACCTGAGGTCCATAACTCAGCGTTGAGATCCTCCTGCCCCTTCTCAGGAATGCCTCTGAGGTGGAAGGACAGGTGGCAGATGTCCTTCCATTGCCCAGCTGGGCAGAGCAAATATTTAACCATGATTTCCTGCCCTAAGGTAAGAACGCCATCTCATAAAGGAAGGGGAATTTTAAAGGTCATCTAGGTTCTCTCTCCTCTTCCACTCAGACCTTCCTACAGCAGCCCCACCAAGAAGTCATTCATCCTCCAGTGATGGGGAGAAGTTTCATTGTTGGATGGGTTTTTCTTAAGGTTTGATTTCTTTTAATATTTTTAGTGAGGTATAGATGATGTAGAATGTTATATAAGTTTCAGGTGTACGACATAGTGATTCACAATTTTTAAAGTCTATACTCCACTTATAATTATTATAAAATGTTGGCTATATTCTCTGTGCTGTACAATATATCCCTGTAGCTTATTTATTTTATCCACAGTAGTTTGTACCTCTTAATCCCCTACCTGTATCATGCCACTCCCTTCCCTCTCCCCACTGGTAACCACTAGTTTGTTCTCTATATCTGTGAGTCAGTTTCTGTTTTGTTATGTGCATTAGTTTGTTTTATTTTTTAGATTGCACATATAAGTGATATCACACAGTATTTGTCTTCATTGTTGGATGGTTTTGAACGGAGCCCTTCCTCACACAAGAGATCTGCTTCCCTGTCTAGCTTCCTGTACCTGCATGAACCCCAGATGAGCACCTCCAGGCTGAGCAGGTCCAGCCCCTTGCCTGCCCCCACACTTGCTTTTGTTCTTTTTGGCTGCACGGCATGCGGGATCCTAGTTCCCCAACCAGGATCGAACGAGTGCCCCCTGCAGTGGAAGTGTGGAGTCTCAACCACTGGACCACAAGGGAAGTCCCCCCACCCTTGCATATGATGAAGCTCCTGGGTCTCTCAGCATTTCTCACCTGGTCCCCAGGTCTGTCTGCCAGTGTCCCAGGTTAGAGTGAGAAGGGGACAGAATGGAGCAAAGGAACTTGTCACCTTCCTTGTTTTGGACCTTAGACCTCTATGATTGTGGCAGGAATGGCTGCTAATGGTTTTAGCTGTTCAAGGGAACAGAAAGCTTGAATTCTGCATCCTCCAAAGTCCAGAGTAAAATCAAGGGCAGCCTGTGGGCTGCCAAGCCCACCTACCATTCCCCGCTGCCCAAGGTCTCTTTCCTCAGACAAACACCTCCTACATTCACTCACAGTAACAAACTTCCTAATCTGTCCTCCCACCAAAGTGTGAGCCTGACTCTTATATCCAACTGCTATTGGACAACATCCCTGTGGATGTTAATGTATCCAAATAAACCTCATTCATTAATTTGAAATTCACCCATTCATTCAACAAGAGTTTAATGAGCAACTAGGTGCCCAGCTCTATGCTGAGTGTTTGGATACAGCAGGGAATAAGTCAGACACAGTTCCTGCCCTCAAGGAGCTTGTGGTTAAGTGAGTGATTGGTACTAAATGAGCAGCGGAACTGTATCATCACTGTTGGGATAAGTCCCATGAATGAGACACGCTCAGTGCTTTAGGAGGATCCAAGACTGACCTGTCCATCTGGGAAATCAGAGAAGGCCACAGGGTGAGTGGGCGGGGCAGGCTGTAGCAGAGTGGAGCAGTGTTGCAGGCAGAGGGAACAGAATGTATAAAAGCCCTGAGGCAGGAAGAAGCTTGGCACATCAGGGAACAGAGAAGCCAGTGTAGCCAAGGTGACGTCAGTGAATAGAGAGGGGCATGAGACAAGCCTGGAACGGTCAGGGGGGCCAAATCACTGGCCCCCACCTTCCAGCTGTGGAATCTGAGAGCCAAGCCTGCGGCCTTCTTTGCTTTTCCACTGAGTGTATAGGTTCTGCTTCCTCAATAGCTCTTGACGCCGTCCCTCTCCACCCAATACCTTACCCTGGGCCTGGCCACCCTCATCTCTGACCTAGACTATCTTTGGCTACCTCAATAGTCTCCTAGCTCATATCCCTGCCTCCTCACCTGCCACTCCAAACCACTGCACACAGCGGCCAGGACGAGCTTCCTAACATGCAAATTGGACCAAGTCACCCCTGCCCAAAGTGCTGTAATGCTGCCCCCCGCCAGCAGGACAAAGCCCAGGCTCCTCAGCTTGTTGTTCAAGGCCCTTCAGCCTCTGATTCCAACCTACATTTTCAGCCTCATCTTTGCCCAGCCCCACTCTGGACCTACACTTCTTCAGTTCTACTGAACCCTTTGCATGATTTATTCTCTCTGCCGGCAATGCCGGGTCTCCCATCTCTATCCCCCTCAGCCCCATCTTATAAAAACCAGCTCAAATATCCCTCTCTTTTGAAACCTTTCCTATTGCCCTCCACCAGCCTGGGCAAGGTCACTGCTGTCCTCCTGAATGCCCCCCTCCCACTGCCCCTCCTTCCTCCGTCAGTCTTTGCCCTGTGCTCTCGTGGCATTTGCTTGTCCACCTTGCTCATAAAGCTCTCTGGGTGCCCAGTCCTGGGCCTGGCACACAGTAGGTGCCCAGTAAATACTGAGTAACAGTTCCAAGAGGGGGCAGAAGACAGTGGGTCCAAGGACAGAGATGGTCCCAGCTTTGGAAAAGAGGGAGCAGTGGAGTGAAGGCAATTGCTATCCCCACTGGTCCCTCCATGCTCCTGGGAGGTCGTGAGAACCCTAGAGAGCCCGCTGACACATGCCAGACCCCAGGTGGCACAGCCTGGGTCAGAGTGCCTGGTGCGTCTCTGGCAAAGGGGCTGTCTCCCTCCAGCCTGAGCCAACCCCTCCCTCAC